TATAATTACAGTAACTGAAAGAGTATAGTATCAACATAAGAACTGATACACAGACCAATAAAACCAAACTGAGAATCCAGAAATAGAACCATACATATATGGTCAATTGGTTTTCTACAAAAATGTCAAGATAATTTAATAAGAATGAAATATAATCTTTTCAATAATAATACTCAGACTAGATAAGTATATGGGAAAAAGTGAAAATTAATCCTTAAGACTTTTACAAAATTAACTTAAAATGATCATATGTATTAGCATAAATGTTAAAATTATAAAACTTCTAATGATAAACAATTTTAAAAATGGGTAACAATTGCTATTGCTATATTGATGGTAGGACTAAAAAATAATATAACTTTGGAAGACTGTTTGGTAGTCTCCTAAAAAGTTAATATTAAAGTAAAATAGCAAGTATGAACTTATTCTATAGGAAAATAGTAAGATGTATTAAATAATGCATTATATCAGAGTTATCAAATTAATTTTTATTCTCAAAATTAAGAAAAATAAATAAAATTTATGCATATTTTTAAATGTGAAAATGATCACTACTAGAATTAGACATAAAATACATGTTGCTTTCCAATTCAGTAGGAAATATAAAAGCCAACAAAATATGGTCAGCAGCAACACACACATCCATAAATCAATACTCCTTAAAACTTAGAATATAAAAGTACTGACATATAAAATAAAGCTTCATAAAATGTAAATTAAAAGGAGAAAGACTAAATAAATTTGTTATAACAATAAATATTAATTGCCTAAATTCAAATAGAAAAAAGGTAAACAAGAATACAGTATAAGGAAACATTTAAACTATCCTTGAAAAAGATATTCTTAAATAAATCTATTATAAATATTACAAATAAAAAAATGGAAGCAGCCAACTTAGGTAAAAATAAAGTAGATTAAAATGTCAATGCTGGCGGCCCCCCCCTCCCCCGTCCTGCACAGCCCCGCCCCGCTCCTAGGCTGCAACCGGCGGCGGGACCTGCGAGGCCCCCACACCCCGCCCCCAGGCTGCCAACAGAGG